ATTAAGTTCACTTATTGGCATATCCTTGGCCCTCGTGCTTAAAGAAATGAAATGAAATCAAATGTTGTCTACACAAAAACTGTACTTTATTAAAAGAGTAAGTCTACTGAAGGGGTGTCGTCAATGGAGGTGTTCACACATATCAGTGTACTGTGGTCACTGTGCATGGGGTTGTTTGACAGCACATACTTGCTGACCTCGATAGAGAGTGATTGATTGCACAAAGGTTTCCATGTTGGTGCATCTGCGCTTAAACTGTCTTTGTAGATATGCATTGCGCGATATAACAGAATCAACCTATCCATTCAATTATCTCACTTTTTTATGATATAAGGGGGGGGGGGAGCGTCGCAGCCCCCCCCCCCAATCTGCACATGATTGTAAGGGCGGAAGTATAATAAAACCGAGATGAAATTTTACTGCCCTCCCATGGCAAAAGGACATAACTGACAATTTGCTGTTTTGGAGATATTAAGCAAAACGTGTAATTTATTTAGCCCTAAAATGTGTTTCAGTATTTGATTTCATGGTTAATGTATTCAAATAGACAACTAATGTCTCTTCCAGTGTAGCACACATTTTTTCTATAAATATTGATTTTTACGCTCAAAATGTCAGTTATGCCCTTTTGCCGTGGGTTTTCTGATTCAAGACATGTTGACAAACTTTGGCAAAAGGATATAAGTACCCAGTTTAGTTCCTTTCAACGCAATTTTGAGTCAGATTATTCAAAAATAACATTCAATATATAATTTCATATGTTGGTCATGTATAAACTATAAAATAAATGTACAATAATACCAAAGAAACGCATTAAATAATAAATACTAAAATTACAAACGATTAAAAACCCATGTATAGGCTAACCAAGTATACAAACAAGAAAATGAATTAACATTAGTGTGCTATTATGTATCAACAAAGCCTTTTTGGCTCAACGTGCTAGATCGAGGACCCTGTGGGTAGGGGGCCTCATGGACCCCTAGGGGTCTGGGGTCCCCATAGAGGTATAATAAGAATTGTTGTTTAATAGCTCTATGGGGGTCCCACACAAGAGCGCATGGCGTTACGTCACTGCGTGAAGGATGCATGCGTATGCGTATATGAAATAGAACTGCTGTTATAGTTAGAATGCGCGTGTGACTGTTTCTATGTGTACGTCATAGAGTTATAATAAGAATACTAGAGCGCTAACAGCAATGTATTCGATGTTCGAAATACGCAGAGCTGTGTGTGTGTGTACCATCCAAGATGGCTGCCATAGATTCAGCCAATCAAATTATGCCTTAGCACTATAATTTTCAATGGCGCCCTCAATTTACACAGAAAGTTCAGTACCCGTATTTTGAAACTCGAGCGTTGCGGTGTATGGGTGTAATTTACACGATTTTAATTCTTTTTAATATTTGAATAAGATGCTCTACTTGGCCTCTTTTTGGCTACGACAGTTTAATAATTTGTCATTATCAATACTAATTATCATTAATGAAATAATATTCAGTCAGAGGGCTTATTTATAGTAATAATATGTATACTAAGCCTGAAGGTGGCGCTTTCCTGCGGCAGCCATCTTGGATGGTACACATACACAACTCTGCATTGCTCCGCCATCTTGTCAGCACTCTAGTTGTTTAATAGCTCTATGGTGTACGTTAAACAAGAATTACAATTATATTTTAAATTTTATTTACAAAGTAAAATCATAAATTTATATTTTAAGTCATGTAATTACAATATAAATTAGGCCTATTATTATTATTATTATTATTATTATTATTATTATTATTATTATTATTATTGTTATTATTATTAGCAATTCTTCTCTATGATCCAAATTTAAGTAATAATGAAATGATTACGAATATTATTGTTTTTTTATATTCTAATAAAATATTCTGAAAAAGTTTTATATATAGATTTAGATGGAAAAGTAAGTTGTCGTTTGCTTAGTGAACACAGTTGATTCTAGTAAACTGTGCATTTATACCTTTTTGTCATGCCATTTGCTATAAATAAATGTTGTAGTTGTGCCTCTTTGCCATAGTTATTTGCTAAATAATCGTTTTAGTTGTCCCTCTTTGTCACTGTTATTTCTAGTTGTGAATTGTTATTCTGCCATGGTTAATTATTTTTATTAAACAGTTACTATATTCCTATAGTTTATTTCCATAGTATTAAACTGTTGCCATTCAAAGTAAAGCAAGATTATATAGCATAAATTAACTAGGCTTATCATGTTTAATGTTAACATTAACTAGACATATGCTACTGTCAAGAATCATACTATTTAACAAATTTCTATCTACAAATTGTGAGTACACAAACAGTAAGTATAATCAAAATAATACAACTTAACATGCAACCTTCATTGTAACCAGGGAGAAAGCTCTCTTCTGATTGGTTGGCTGTTGAAAGAACGTCACGCTTCAGCGTATCACAGCCTATCTTTGCAGTTATGCCCTTTTGCCTTGGGAATTTACCGAAAATTGTGTAGTTATGCCCTTTTGCCATGCCCCTATCTAGCCCGGGGGACACTTTTTTACAATTTTTTTTGTGTCAACATGTGTAACACGATGTACTGACCCCACTAGGCTATATAACTCATTTTCGCCAAAAATGTCAGTTATGCCCTTTTGCCATGGGGGGG